TTTATTAGGGGCTCATACAACTGTTATCGCAATCCATACACACATCAATTGTGTAAAGCGCATTTGTACATCATTCTCAAAAAGCAGTTGGTTTTTCATATGTCCTTGATTTCATTGAGAAATATCCCTTTAATTCCTATTTTTTGTATTTTTATCAAGAATGGATGTTAGATATTATCAAATACTTCTTCTGAATCAATTGATATGATCATGTTGTTGTTTTTCTTTGTTTATATGGTTGATTACATTCATTATTTTTCTAATTTCAAACCATCTTTGCATACCTGGAATGAATCACACCTGGTATTTTGTTTAGCTCTTTGATATGTTGTTGGATTCTGTTGGCCAGGATTTTGAGATTTTGCCCCTATATTCATAAGAGATATTGGTTAACAGTTTTGTATCTGTATCTCTGCGTGGTTTTGATGTCAGGGTTATGCTTGCTTCGTATAATGAATGTTCAAGTTTTCTGTTCTTCTCAATATTCTGTAATGATTTGTGTTAAGTTGGTATCAGCAATTCTCTGAATACTTGGTGGAATTACCCAGTGAAGCAAAACTTTATTTTGTTGTTGGACCTTTTTAAATTGCTTCCTCTGTTTCTTTTCTTAGGTTATGATGAGTATTTCTACCTTAGGCTGTTATTGTGGTAAATAGAGCATTTCAAGAAAATTTTCCATTTCGGCTGGGTTTTCACATTTGTTGAAGTACAGTTTTTCTTTTGGTGTGTTTTTATTTCATTTAGTTATATTTTAATATCACCCTTTTCATCTTTTATTCTTGATATTTTATGTTGCCTTTCTTTTCCTTTGTTAAGTTTGCCAGTGGTTTGTGAATTTTATTAATCCCTTCTGATACATTTATTAATCCCTTTCTGATACACTTGTTTATACTCTATTCTTTATGATTTTTTCCCAAGTGAATGAAGGTTTATTTTGTGGCTCTTGTTGTAGCTGCTGAAAATACTGGGTAAGGTGTTGATTTTGGTTCTTTCTCCTTTCCCATTATGTTTAGTCCTTTAAGTTGCCCGCTGAGATCAGCTGTTGCTGTGTCTCAAAGGTTTTGGTATGTCATTTGTGTTAAAGAATTCAAAAAAGTAATTCTTAGATCAAGTCACCAATAGTTTCCAAGTGCTGTTTTATTCAGTTTGCATTTATTTGAATTTTTACCTTTCCCTATTATCAATAGATTTAAATTATTAAGGCTTGGTTTGTGCCCTAACATGTTCTGTTTTACAGAATATTCCGTCTGCACTGTGAAAGAATGTCTTCCACTGTGCTGTTGTTGAGTGGAATGCTCTGGGGTGTCAAGTTGCTAAATTGTGATGTTTAGTTTTCCTGTGTTCATTAAGTTTATTTCAGGATGGTCTACCCTTGCTTGAGAGTGATGTGTTAAAGTATTTTACT